GGGGGTGCACACGCCTCTAATCCCAGGACATGGGAGGCTGAGGCAGGAGGATTAGTGGGAGTTTGAGTCCAGCCTGGGCCACAGCGTGAGACCACGTCTCAAAAAGCCAGCCAGATGACAAAATAAGCAAAGGTCTCTGTGACACTAGGACAGTTACCTCCCTTCCGTGGGGCTGGGATGCAAACTTCTTTGGGAAGACTGCTATGTGATTGCAACCTGTGGGACAGCTGCTTCTCTTTCTCTACCCCATTTCCTGTACTGAATCTCTTTTGAAAGCATCAGCTCCTCTAGCTGGATTTTTTTTTTTTTCTTTTTAATGTATTCAGTACAGGGTCTACAGGGTCTCACTACACAGACTGGACTTATAGAGATCCTCCTGTTTTCAGCCTCCCAAGTGCTGGGATTACAGCGTGTGCCACCACGCCCAGGCTCAGTCGCCACCTCAGCGCGCCCCGGAGCTGAGGGCAGCACAGCACTCTGGGAATCAAGCGCCAGTCCCTGCGCCTGCCTAAGAGACACATTAGTTTGCTGAGCTAATCTGGCCGGCACTAAGAGCTGCATTTTTGAGAACTCAAATTCTAGCCACTTTTAACACCATTCTCTACCTCTGTCCATCAGCCTGCGAGGTGAGATGGGCCCAGAGCCCAGGTTGTGCCCACATGGCCACCAGTGTCCCTTGGTCAGCGGGGTCATGAGTCCTGGGCAGGGGCCGGGATAGGAAGGGCTCGCTTACACGTCTGACCCTGTGTCACTGGAAGGGAGAGCCGGGGGAGGCAGTGCACAACAGCTCCCAGGGCGCCGTCTCCTCGCTCTCTTCTGTGACCTGCTTACTATGCCACCTGTGCCTCCGATGCTCCAGTCCCAGGGCTCCAGGGCGGGGCTGCGAGCCTCCACAGGCAGGCAGGCCCTGCGCTACCTGGACGCACCCTCCTTTTATTTTCCTCCCCTACGCACACTTGGTTTGGGTTACAGAGAATATTGCCTCATGAGGTGGCGAGGAACTGGGAGCACAGTACCCCGCCTCTTCTGGGAGTGACAGACAGACGCTGTCACCAGCAGCCTGAGGCTCTCTCCACGCCCAGAGGAACTCGTATCCAGGATGCTCTGGCGATGTCTGGGGCTGCTGCGGACGGCACGCAGCAAACCCTGGGCCAGCGCCCACTCAGAAGGAGAGGGCCTCCCACCTCACATACCATCTGGAGGTCATCGATCCTGGTGTTGACTCCTGAAGCCATTTCTTTCCTCTCCTGCGGTGTCTCGGGACAGGGATAGAGCGAAGCCCTGAACCTGCAATGCATAACACAGCCTGAAGGATGTCCACGCTTGCCCCTAGCTTTTTTTCCCCCCTTTCTTTGTGGTTGTTGCTATTTTGAGGCAGGGTTTCTCTGCAGAGTCCAACCTGGCCTCAAATTTGCTATGTAGCCCAGGCTCACCTCAAATTTGTAATCGTGTCTCAGCTCCCAAATGCTAAGATTGCAGGAGTGAATCACCATGTCCAGCTTTAAGTTTTCTTTTCTTTTTTTTTTTTTTTTGCGGAACCAGGGATTGAACTCAGGCCCTTGTGCTTTTCAGGCAAGCGCTTATTCTACTGAGCTATCTCCCCGGCCCCTAAGCTTTCTAACATACTCAATTTAAATAAGCTCAGAGGATAACTTACTGAGCAGGATCAGAGCAGAGTTAGGTCAGACTGATGTGTTAACTCTAGGTGACAAGGCCTGCAGACAGACCAGTAACATCTGGACTATCTTGGCTTTCTCTGCAGCTACGAGATTCCTTTGAGATTAAAAAAAAAAAAAGAAAGAAATGGGGGCTGGCCAGATAACTCAGCGGACTACAGTGCCTGCTTAGGCAGAGTGCAGTGGGTGGGGCTCGATCCCGGCCCCACCCCTAGGGCATGCTGAGATAGTGATTGAGACTGGGTGTGGTGGCGCATGCCTGTGATCCTAGCATTTGGGAGGCTGAAAACAGGAGGGTCACTGAGTTTGATCTACGTAGTTAGACTCTGTAGACCCTGTACTTAAAAAACAAAACAAAAAACAAAGAAAGAGGAAAAGAGATTATACCATAAATTATTGAAGAAAAATGCCACGAAAATCATCCTGCCCATGACACCTTCCAAACAGTAAGGATGCAGCATGCCGGCACCACGCAGCCAGGGCCCAGGACAAAGGGCCTGCCAGACGCTGGGAGAAAGAGCTCGGGCTTTTCTTAGGGTTGCTGCTGCCGGTGAACCTCTCCGCCCGAGCTGCACTGCCAGCCCTCTTTAGTTTTTATTTTGAGACAGGGACTCAGCAAGTGGCCCAGGCTGGCCTCAAACTTGTGATCCTCCTGCCTCAGCCTGCCAGAGTGCTGGCTGACAGGTGCATAGCACCGCGCCAGCGCTGGCCTGCAACAGCTGAGAATGTGCATGCCTAGGGACCCTTACCCCTCGCAGATCTTCTTTACTCTGTTCTTGAGCTGGTCGCCTTGGAAGAAGATGATAAACACGGACTTGTGCACGTAGTCACCCTGGTCGCAGAAGCAAAGGCAAGGGCTCAGACCTCTGTGCTTGGAAAACGGTCGCCAACAACTCTCTCCAGGACGGCGGAGGAGCGATGGGGCTGAGGCGGAGGCCACTGTGCTGCAGCCCCTGTGCCCACCCCACTCCGGAAACGTCCTTGGCAGCAACTCCCCGGGCACTCAGTCTGCTGTCAGACACGCCCGGAGCCTGGCAGAGCGCTAGGGTCACGTCCTCCGAGCCTTACTGTCCAGCTTCACTGTCAATCTCCTACTGGCTGAATGCTGAAGGCACAGAGGGCAGTGGTCAAGGAAGCCCTTTCTGCCTGGCCTGTGCTTAGGAAGCCCCAGGTAAGGACTGATAACTACAAGAAATGGCGTCAGGGGCAGATGTGGAGAAGCCCAGGATCTGCTCTCAGAGCAGGGAATAGGAAGAGAGGTGGCTGCCTGAAGGCCAAGAGCACACCCAAGGCATGGCACGGAGCAGAAGGCTGGAGCAACCGAGGGCTCTGGCACACTAGCCGTATGGTCACAGGTTGCTACAACTGCGTGATCCAACAGCACACACTGGTGTACGGGAGAGCAAGTGGGAGTGTGTGGCTCCAGCCCTGCCCTCCTGGCTCTGCCGTCCTAGGGCAGCCTGGCCCCTTCTCGGTCTGCTAATAAATCTGCCTCTCTGTGGCCAGCAGAAGGCTGGACTGACGGCCCTGAGCTGCTCCCCTAGCCCTGGAGAGCCCAGCAAGGCCATGACCTTGTCTGAGTGAAGGGGTTCACCTGCAGCGCCCACAGCCCACAGTGCACAGTCACCACCTGACTCCATCCCCCCGTGAGGAGTCTCGCAATTCAGTCTCTCTTCATAGGCAGACAAGGAAAAAAATTTAAGAAAGCCACAAAACCCCAACTCTGGGATTCTAACAATGCGAAGGCGAGAGGAAGCGAAGTTTATGCGCTACCCTCAATCTCTGCCATAGCCCCTGGACCGGATGCGAGGCTGCTCCCCCTTTGCAGCGCAGGCAGGAAGAGCCGTCTGCTTGCATGGTAGCTGTTCCCGACAGTTCTGATCCCAACAAACAAGATGGCAATAAACTCTTACCAAGCAAAGTGTCAGCAGCTGAGAAAGCTCACACTTTAGGAAGTACCTCTTTCTAGCCAGGGTCTCACTGTGCAGTTCAGCCTGGCTTTGAGCTCACTATGCCGCGCAGGCTGGCCTCAACCCTCCTGCCTCAGTCTCTCAAGTGTATCCCTGTGCCTGGAAGTCACTCCTCTTTTACACATGAATATTAAACGTGGAACCTGATGTTTTGCTCTAAGTTAATTTTCACGAGAGGCAATTTTTTCCTCCAGTTCCAATTTAGTAAGAAGAACACTATAAAGTTAAGTCAAGTAATTTGAAGAGCCCTATTTCTAACCCAAACATGACCCCCTCAGGTAAAGCTTAAGAACTCCTTCAGGTCCTGCGCACTGCAGACACCATGTTGGGGCGGGGCAGCCCTGCTGGTCCTCCGCTCACAGCGGACAGGGAAGGTGGCTGCAGGTGGTGCCAGGCTGTGTTCTATGCTAGGTCCCTCTGCAAGGCCCATGCCAGGGGATGCCATCTCCTTGTCTTACAGTCACGGGATCCTCCAGAGGGTTCTCGATCTCAGCCTGTCGCAGGAACACGTTCCCTCGGCACACGCGCCAGAGCATGCGTTCAAAAGTGGGGATGCGCTCCCGGTTAATCACGCCAGCCACGAAGCTGTGGGGAGAGGAGCATGAAGGGGAGAGGGAGGGCATGACGGTGCACACGGGGCATGTGGCGTTATGGCCAGGAGCTGCGACAGGCCGGCCACGAGTACCTGCAGCTGGCGAGCCCCCAGCCTTGCAGCCCCCCAGTGCCACAGGACCAGACCATAGCAAGCACGCAAGCCCAGACCCGGCTTACCCCAGCCGCAGTGGTGCGCCTCTCCCCATCTCGTTGGGTTCCAGGAGCGAAGAGGACTCTTCCAACAGGTCTGGATCCGCCATCTGCTGATGATGCAATTCAGCCTGAATTCACAAATCAATTAATATCTAATGAAAATAGTTAGTGGCATGCAGGGAACGAGGAACCAGGAGATAGGTTCAGAAAAGAGAGATGGAAAAAATGAAACCAAATCACCAAAAGGCAAGACACACCCACAAAGGGGAGACAGGAAGAGTTGGGGAAGAAAACCAAGGAAAGAAACATGAGGGAAGGAAAGCGGAACTGCCCCAGGGAAGCCTCTGGAGGAGTGCTTGAAAGGATGGACACAGAAGTGATGAGGAGGCGTGTAAAGCCGCTCCTTGGTGGAAGCCGTTCTCTCCGGTTTCTGAGTGAACCATGAACGAACGGAGAGCTCTCTTGCGTGTGGACAGGAAGCTGCTACAAACCAGGCCTCAGCCCAAGGGACACTGTGACAGGACGAGGTGCCTGCCTAGGCAAGACGAGGGCCCCGCCACTGCCCACAGGGTGACCAGGAGGACCGAGGGGCGGCTCTTGGGACCAGGTCCTCCAGCCACAGAAGCTAGGGACACGAGAACTTGCCGTGCAGCCGGCTTCAGTGAGACCCATAGGGCAGGATGAAAGGGCATCTCCTTCCAAAGCAGGGGAGCACAGTGGCTGCCGGCCTGCACCTTGCTGCACCAGTAAAGGCAGGCACATGCTTGCAGGCCGCCTCTGGATAGGAATCTAGGAGTATCTGTGACGTGTCTGCAGGCTTTAGAGCGGAAGGGCCCTTGAGAACGCAGCTCCAGAACCAGGCGGAGCAGGGAAAGCAGCGGATAATCACTGATTCAGAGCCCTGGGCCAGCCTTACTGCAGAGGTCAAACGGCATCCACCAGGACAGCTTGTACATCGCAGCGGGGGACAGGGGCCACACGGGGGTCTCGTCACCTCTCTGTCCTGCCTCCTCTACTGCCACTGGAAAGAGAAGCCACCCTGCAAAACCAAACCCAACCCACCTCTCTGCTGCCTGGTCTCCCCCCTTGCACACCCACAGGCTTCTCCTCTGACCAAAGACCATGAAAGATCAGCTTTTTCAAAAAGCAAAACTGAGAGCCAGGGAGATGGCTCAGTAGAATAAGCACTTCCCTGGCAAGCACAAGGGTCTGAGTTCAATCCCCGGTTCCGCCCCCCCCCCCCCAAAAAAAGCAAAACTGAAGAGAAGTCAGAATGATACTTATCATTTTCATTCCAAATTCTAAATTTAATCTATTCCTGCCAATCACATCACCAAAAACTGCCACAGCAGGCCCTCACCTGCCAGTCACAGCCCTGGCACGTATCGGTCAGGGAGAACCTGAGTGCAAAGGGAGGCCTCGCGGCCCAGAAGAAGGAAGCAACTGCTCAGGAGGTGAGGCCCAGGCTGGGCCAACAGAGCAAAAGCAGCAGGCACAGCAGAGGCCCGGAGAGCCCTGGCCAACACCAGCGGCTTTCCACCTCAGGGCTGCAACAGCGGGGACGCCTGCTGCTGTGAGCACTCAGAGCTCTCTGGGCTCTGCGTCCAATCAGCTGACTGCAAGCACCTGGCCTGTGGACCAGATGACCAGAGCTCAGCAAGCTGAGTGTGGCCCACAGGACCCTGTCCTACCCCCACGCCAACTGCAGGGTCTGGTCAACCGCAAAGTCATGCTGCCCTGAGGGAAAACGGAGGGACAGGAAGCAGAGGGCTCCTGGATTGCAGCTGGGACTCTCCCAGCTAAAAGCTGCAGAATTAATATCAAGCACCTACTGCAATAACCTATTAACTACTGACCCTACTACTTCCCATGTAAGAATCCCAATACTAGAGGGCAAAGGTGAAAATTCTAACTCATGCCTGGTGGGGGCCAAAGGCCTTCAGAGAGACACCTGAAACCAAGCTGTGCACCCAGCCCTAACCCTTAGGGACCCTGACCCCCAACACCTGCACGCTGGCTGTTTTGTCCTCCAAACCACTGCCCTGGCCCTGGGCCACCGAGCAGAACACCAAGACCCAAGCCTCCCGGGAGGAAGCACAGCGGGCTCCTACCCTGCCGTCATCCAAAGCCCTCACCCCAGCCCAGGGGCCACGGCAGCAGCTCCTCCCTGCCCCCCTACCCGAGAGGGAGACTGACCCCCGCCCCCCCAGTGTGCACCTTAAGCTGAAGGACATGGCAGATGGGAAAGAAAAGAAGGAAAGCAGATGGATGGAAAGCTCAGAAGAAAAGGAAGGCAGGGGTCTGCATGCCATTAACCATTACTTTTCCAGTCTTCTTTACGCTCTCTTATGTCATGGTGCTTATGGTAAAAGGTGCAGAGAAATCTCTCCAGCTCTTACAGCTCTTCATAAGCAAGAAGACTGAGAAAAGGGCAATCATTAACAAGTCATCTTAAACGCTCTGGATCAGAAAGGCTCTCTGAATCGGTCATCATCTAAACCATACGAATATGCAGCGGCTAGCTTCTTTCCCCGGATGATCCCTGTGCCTAAAAGCAAAGAACTGCGCTCCAATTTCCCCACTTCCTGCTTGCTCATTGCTGTAGGTTGTTGATTATATTCACCGAAGCATAAAAAGACCAGAAGTTTAACAACTGGTAGTGTTTAAGGCCGTTTGCAAGCATCACAACTTCAGACTCTGGAAGAAACTCTCATAAAAAGCTCTTCTGTTTTCTTTTTTTGGTGGAACCGGGGATTGAACTCAGGCCCTTGCATTTGCCAGGCAAGCGTTTACTCTATTGAGCCATCTCTCCGGCCCTAGCTCTTCTGTTTTCAACACTGGGGGCCCCAAGTCTGCACCCCTGTGCACTGTGCGCGCACACTGTGGCCGCTCTGTGGGGCCCGGCCCTGAGGTGCGTCCTGCAGCACGGCAGGCAGGGACGTGGAGAGGGCCGGGCAGCTGTGCGACAGCGGCTAGGACGGGCCGCGCGGTGAGCAGCGGGGACAGCCAGGCTCAGCCGGCCTTGTGCTCCAGGGCTTGAGTTGGGCCGGCAGGCAGGCACCAGCTAGCTCGCAAGACCTGGCACTTACTGCTTAGGCTCCGTAATCACAAGAGTAAAGCCCTAAATCCCTAACATAGGACTTGAAAATCATGCATCATCTTTGTAAGTAGTTCCTTTCATTTTATTTTTACTGCTTTATCTTAGAAAATTAAGACCTTGTTTTATTTTCTTTTACTATCTTTCTTAGGGGTTTGTTCATGCAGGGCAGTGAGCCCAAGGCCTTCTTCAGGCTGAGCCTGAGTACTGTAACCGCTTCCCTTCAAGGGCCCATGTGTCAGTTTTTACTTAGCCCTTCTCAGTAGGTACACGGGATGGGATGGCGCTTACTCCAATCCTCCCATCCAGAGGTCAAGGGGACACTTTCGAGCATCACAGTGGTACAGTAAAGGGCACTCGAAAGGGAGCAAGGACAACTGAAGGGTGGGGGAGCAGTGCCAAGGGCCGCAGCTCAGGCTCGAGCTTGAGTGAACGACGGCCTGGGTTTCACGTCCGGCCCGAAAAAGAAAGAAAAAGCCCCACGGATGGGAGCACTGCGCCCAGGGAGGGAGTCACACGGTCCCTGGTGGGCCAGGCCTCACACCACCGGGCCTCAGGGAGAGCAGGCCCGGCTCTCAGGAACTCATGTTGGTAGCCGCCGGCGTGCAGGGTGAGCTGATGGGGTCCATGCCCTGCGGCAGAACCAGGGCTCTGCTGCAGCAAAAGGCCTTAAACAGCCAGCATCACACCCCACGCCTGCGAAGGTGGGGTGAGTGAAAAGGAGTGCAGACGTTACCTGTCCCACATTCTGCCCTGGCTGTGCACACTGAGGGGCCCACAGCACTTCCCAGCCACACAAAAGTGACTCTGGCCAGCGGGGAGCAGAGACTCCTGCCAGCTGCTCTCCAAGGAGCTGCCCGCTGGGCACAGCTTCCCTGGGCTGGCCTTGGAGTCAGGGGCCTGTCACCAGTAGCACTGTGTCCTACACCAGTGGCTTTCCATCCAGCAGGCCTAAGACACACCTCACCCATCGGACGGCCACCTCGCCCCAGGGAAGGGATCTGCTGGATCCCAGGGGGCAGCTCCTGCTGCTCGGGCCCCCAGAATACAGAGACCTGGTCTCAAGGGCAGGAAGAAAAAGCCGAACTGAGAACATCAGAGGCCAACTCCAGCAGGCCCACTGTGTCCCTCACACCTGGCCACGAGTGCTTTGGATGTTGAGCAAGCAAAATACAAGTGTTTACACGAGGCTCGCAGAGCAGCGGCAGCCAGGAGCCACCCTGTCAGCGCCTCGCTGTCCCATCGGGGCGCACGCATGCACGTGGAGAACAGTCACCACTTCTCGGGGCCCAGGGCGGGGAGACATCTAGGCTAACAGGTGGGCATGCCTCCGCTGAGGCTCAGTGGGGGAGGGACGTTCTCACTCACGCCTCTCTGCGTGGCCTGCGGCGAGGCAAGCTGTTGCCACCTGCCTCCTCCTCAGGCAGCTTCACAGAGAATAAAATCAAAGTCAGTACCCAACGCCAGAAGGACTGGGGATTAAACCCTGGTGACAATCTTATGCATAGCTGGGTGTTTCGTTCTTCAGCTTTAACTTTAAGCATCTACTTACCTTGTAATATGTTCTACATAAATATAATGTAAAAATTTCAACCGTGTTTATACAATGACCATAGGATTCCTTTTCCCATGTTGAGATGAAAAATTGCAGAAAATGTGAAAATATACAGAACCATGGCTGGCTGTGCACTGCATGAAAATGGAACATAATCTGACTTTTTTCAACTAAAATAAGAGTGCAAACATGGCATTGCTTCCAAACTAGCAAATTAAAATAATCCCTGGAATAGGAACATGGCCCACTTGCGCAGGTGCAGTGTTGGCTGCTCAGGGCGAAAGGAACAACAGGCTGACCTCATCGAAAAACTGCTGCGTCTTGCGGAGGATGAACTTGAGCTCAGTCAGTTCCAGGAAGTTCCTCTTCAGGGCTTCTTGGTTTGTGTTGATTTCCTTCAGCTCGTTTTCGATCTTCTCAAAATTGGCCTAGAGGAGAAGATGGAAGGGGCGCTCAGAGTGCTCACCCCGCAGGACAGTGCCCGAAGAAGGGGTGCCACGCAGGCGTGTCAGAGTCACTGCGGCCCCACAGGGGCTGGGACCTCACCACAGGGATTTTCTTTTCTTTTCTTTTTTATTTTGTTTTATGTATTTAGGACAGGGTCTACAGGGTCTCCTTACGTGGGTCAGACTTGTAGTGACCCTCTTGTTTTCAGGCTCCCAAGCGCTGGGATTACGGGTGCGCCTGTCTCTATCAAGGGCTCGCTGTGCCCTGAGGACAGGCCCGGCACAGTGCGCCAGCGCTCTGCCTAAGCAGGCGCTTTATCTGCCGAGCTATCTTGCCAGCCCCACCACAGCAATGTTCTTCACACAGATTTTGCCTTAATAATTGTCTAGCCGGCCATGGTGGTATGCACCTGTCACCCCAGCACTCAGGAGGCCAAGGCAGAAGGACCGCTACAAGTTCAAGACCACCCTGGGCTACAAAGTGAGTGCAAGGCCAGCCTGAACTACATAGTGACATCCTGTCTCAAAAAGACCACAGGGGCCGGGGAGATGGCTCAGTGGAATAAGCGCTTCCCCGGCAAGTGTAAGGGCCTGCGTTCAATCCCTGCTTCTGATTGAAGAAGAAAAAAAGAAAGAAAGAAAAGAAAAGAAAAAAAGTGTTTTTGTTTTTGTCTATGGATTCTGTGTTACACTTTGTAAATTTCACCAGGGAGTTCAGATGGACAAAATATCACCAAAAAGCCCACTGCTTCATGTTTGTAATTACAGCATTCTGGGAAGCTGAGGCAGGAGGATTCCAAGTTTAAATCCAGTTTGGGCAGCTTAGCAACTTAATGAGACCCAGTCTCAAAATTTAAAAAAAAAAAAAAAAGAAGGCAGGAGGATTGCAAGTTCAAGCCCAGCCTGACCAATTTAGTGAGGTTTGAACTCCAGCAACCTGAGGCTGACAGCTTTGTGGAAGCAGTCACTTAAAGGCCTGAGCTAGGGCCAGGCCCCCCCTGACCAATTTAGTGACTAAGCAAGACACTGTCTCAAAGTATGAAAATGGAGCCAGGGGTGTGGCTCAGGGCAAATGCCCTTGGTACTATTAAAAAAAAAAACAATCCCTGAGCCTAACAGATAAAGAAGCCACTAGGCTGTCTCACTATCCCAGAAGGGCCCTGCTGCTTGGCGGACAAGACCTGCCCCACATACTGTTCGTCCTCGTGAAAAGGAGAGCCACTTGGATCCACCCCAAGACAAGCTCACCCGGATGGCAGGACTGGCTGCACCCCTCCCCCCGAGGACCGTGACTGCATTTCTCAGCAGGAAGAAACTTGTCTGGCTTTCCAGACCTGCTCACCTCCAAGTCGATCATGTCCCGGGGGAAGGGCACCTCTGGGTTTTCACCAGTGTCCATAATTGGGATGTTCGCTTTTCTTATCTCTTTCTCAACAAAACCTAAAATGATAGAAGCAAAGCATTCATGCTAGCTGCACATACCTGGAATCACTATTGTTGGGGGGTTAAAGCTAGCTATAACGTTTCATCCCAGCTGGGCCTGGTGGCAGCTACCTGTAATCCCAGCACTCTGGGAGGTGAAGGCATACGGAACCTAAGCTCCACCGCAGCCTGGGCAAGCCGGCCACTTAGCAGACCCTATCTCAGGCAGGGCTGTAGCTCAGTGTGCAGGCCCCAGTCCAGCCTCTGGCACTTCAGTGTAAAAGGACAGGGTTGGGCCCAAGGGTGTAAGACCTCTCCTCGGAAAGCAGCAGCTTTTTCTCCACAGCCTCTTGGTGTCCCTCTTGCTCCAGTGAGCCTGCAGGGCACATCCCACCCATGGCACCTGCTCTCCCTCTTGCGCCTGAAGCTGGCAGGCACGCAAACCCTGGCGAGAGGCTACAGGTCCCCAGGCATCGTCCCACCTGCACGAAGCCAGGCCAGTGTTGGTGTGGGCTGCTGGGTGCCAGGGATGGAATCCCGGCCTTCTGTGTGTGAGCCACGGGCTCTACCCCAGCTCTGGGGCTCGTTTCAAGTGTTAAAAATAAAAGTTGCACAGCAGAGTATAGAATAAGGATTCCAAACACCTGAGGTCTTTCAGCTTACAACGGCCCACTTGTTTCCTGTGCAGCAAGGCCCAGTTCTCCTGTCCGGCAGCCAACCGGCAGCTGGCTCGCAGCGCTTGGGGCCAGACGGCTCGACTCTGAACGAGGAGTCCACCGTGCGTGCTGGCGCGCCTGGGAAGTCACTGAAACAGCTGATTTCTAGTGGCCGTTGTTAAGTGAGTAGCATGGGTCTCGAAACAATGGTAGGGAGCAAAAGCAATTAAGCATTTAACCGCGTACTCACTCGTTCTTTCCTAAGTACCCCAGCCCTCAAGGGGACTTCCTCTGTCATAGTTCAGTTACAATGGGGGCTACAGTGAGACATGATGGTGCACGCCTGTGAGGCTAGCACTTAGGAAGTGAGGCCGGAGGAGCACAAGATCGAGTCCTTCCCAGGCAACTTGACAAGAACCTGTCTCAAAATAAAAAAGAGCTGGGGGTATAGCTCAGTGGCTCCGCTGACATCTAAAGTTGGTGCTGCAGTGAGCAACCTCTCAGAATCCTATAATGTAGCCTTCCTGTCACGGTGCCACTGTCAGCACTCACCTACTGACCAGCAAGGCTCCCCCAGCGTGACCTGTCCAGACAGCACCACACCAACGTGGGCCACAACGCAACCTTTGCATCACGACTGCTGCACCGTCCTCCTCCTCCTCCTCCTCCTCCTTGTCCTCCTCGCCCTCCTCCTCCTTGTCTTCCTCCTCCTCCTTTTCTTCCTCCTCTTCTTCCTCCTCCTCCTCTCTTCCTCCTCCTCCTCCTTTTCCACCTCCTCTTCTTCCTCCTCCCCCTCTCGTCCTCCTATTCCTCCTCCTCCTCTTCCTCCTCCTCCTTTTCCTCCTCTTCTTCCTCCTCCTCTCTTCCTCCTCCTCCTTCTCTTCCTCCTCCTCCTCCTCTTCCTCCTCCTCATCCTTCTCCTCGTCCTCCTCTTCTTCCTCCTCCTTGTCCTCCTCCTCTTCCTCCTCCTCATCCTTCTCCTTCTCCTCCTCTTCTTCCTCCTCCTCCTCCTCTTCCTCCTCATCCTTCTCCTCCACGTCATCCTCCTCCTCTTCCTCTTCCTCCTCTTCTTCCTGCTCCTCCTCCTTCTCCTCCTCATCCTCCTCTTCATCCTCCTTCTCGTCCTCCTTTTCCTCCTCTTCTTCCTCCTCCTCCTCTTCCTCCTCCTCCTCTCATCCTCCTATTCGTCCTCCTCCTTTTCCTCCTCCTCTTCTTCCTCCTCCTCCTCCTTTTCCTCCTCTCTCCTCCTCCTCTTCCTCCTCCCCCCTCTTCCTCCTCCCCCT